CTTCAAGAGAAAGGCCTTTTCAAAGAACACCCTGTTCAAGTAGATTTTCTTTGCCATTCTAGAAACATAATTTGGATGTCATCTCATAGTCTGACTCAATTAAAGCACGATCAAATCTAAGTTTTCTTTTTTCTTGGGCCAAAATCAAACCTCCCTTTTTTATGGAAGTAAATATATAGGACAATCATTGTACCTAGTAATCAATTTACTCCTTTTCTCAAACCTTAGTGCTTGGCTGTAGAGTTAGTTAAAGACAGTAATGTGGTTCAATATGGATTTGAAATGCCTTCTTTGTTTCTATTTAGAATTTTTTTAGATTCTAAAAAAGATTCTCTTTTTAGGTACTAATCTCATATTCATAATAATAATAATTTCAAATTTAATGTCAAATACATTAAATACTTTTGTCTCATAATATTTAGGTTCATGGCACTAAATAGAGCTATAGATAATAACTGAAGAACTGAGCATTCAGGTAGAGATGGTAATTTTATTTTACAAAGTTAGTTCCATATCCAAAAATGTTGTAAATATTAAGTTATTCACATGTATAATAATAGATATTAATATATTGTTTTATAGACTAAAGTGTTTTGAAATATAACCTCGATATATTTTCAAAAGCTTGAGACCACTTTTGTTTTAGGAGTAGTAATGGTAATAACAACAGTCATGTGTCCATTTCGCCAGTGAGAAAATGAAGTGTAGAGAAGTTAAATGATTTATTCAAATTCATATGTTTTATAATTTACAGAGAAAGCTCTTAGATTCATATCTCATAATTCTACATTTCTTACTAATTTCACCATACCTTTCTTCATATCTGTCAGGTGTAAATGTGAGTAGGATTCCCAGACTGCAGAATCTGTAAACATATCTCATCTGAAGATGACTTGCTGAAGCTCTGCTCAAGTAGCCTCCCAATCTTCTTCCTTGGCCTCAGACTGGGCCCACATCTAACAACAATGTGAAAACCTTAGTGACTTTCAAAATCATGGTCTCCTGCAGACCAGTACTTTGCTTCACTCTGGTCTCTGCAATGTTTCCAACCATAGACTCCGAGTTAGAATCTGAGCTCACATTACTCATAGATGACTCCAGATAATAAATGTCAACCACACTGTTCACTCTGGTTCCACTCCCATGATGTGTTTCTAACCACTATTCTGCCTACACCCTCCTTCTAGCTCGTCAGAGATAAATTACTACTGATTCCTTTCCTTCTTTAGAGGATATGCTCATTTGAGAGGACCAAAATGATAACGAAAACAGAGTGCAAGATTTTGCCTTCACACATGCCAGTTAGTTTCCCTTTTTATAAAAGTACTTGTAGGCCCTGGCAGGTATGGCTCAGTGGATTGAGCACGGGCCTGTGAACTGAAAAGTTGCTGGTTTAATTCCCAGTCAGGGCACATGGCTGGGTTTTGGGCCAGGTCTCCATTTGGGGGCATGGGAAAGGCAACCGATCACTGTCTCTCTCACACATATTGGTGTTTTTCTTCCTCCCTTCCCCTCTCTCTAAAAGTAAATAAATAAAATATTTTTTAAAAAGTACTTTGTAGTTTTGCCTCACTATTTATTTCCACAATAATAGTGTGAATTTCTTAAAGTCATAATAAGAATTTGTGCTCAAAGCATTAATTGTCAAATGCCCGTCATTTGAATGAATTGTCTCCAGTACCATACACCAATCATACTGGTGCCCATGATAAGGTGTTTCTTTTATTTTCTTAATTACTCATTTTGTATTCACAAAGACATTTTAAAGGCCTCAGGTAATAAGAAGCATAGGAGACTTTTATTTGTTGGAAAGTGTGGTTTGGCATAATGTTTCACAATGGATACTATAAAACTAAGCATTTCTTTATTTTTCCCTTTTTTATTCTCTTCAACTAGTCATTATCATTGATCAAAATCATTCAAGAGAGTGAGATCAAAGTAGATATTTAGGTAGTTGTGGTAGGTGAACGTTTATGGTGACTATGTCACATTTTCTCCAATGCATAAAGCATTTTTTGAAGTGAATTGTATGTCTATTACAATACTAAGTGTTTGGAGATTGCAATAAAATTTTGGCTATCTGAAATCAGACTTCTTACACCCCTATTCACCTTGAAAGAACATAAACACAAAAACAAGGGTCACAATTCCTGGAATGCAAAGTCTAATTTTTAGTAACCCATCTAAAAGAAGGGAAGACCCAAAGATTACATTTGATATAAGAAAGCAGCCAAACAACAAATTCTCTGATTCTCTGACAAGAACAAGACCCTTTTTTCACATGAAACCTAAGAAATGTTAAGAGAAACCACATTAAGCAAAACATAGGCAAACAGATGTGAAAGTATGTAATGAAAGAGATAACACACAGCAAAGAACGATCCTTTGGACCCTGGTGGTAATGGTGCAAGTGAACATTCTGCAGTGACGGAAGTGGTGAATGCAGCTGTAATGCTAAAGACAATGCGTAATGATGAAGCACAATAGGAAGAGCATCTTTGCTGGTAGAAGGACACGGTGGTTCTGGACTCCAAAACTTGCGGAAAATATAAATAGAAGTGAGTGTCACCACCTTAAAAGAAGAAAAGAAGCAAAGGGACAACTAACCACACAACAGAACCTAAAGAAACAGTCATCGAATACTTCGGAGGACTGAGTAATGGACAGCGGAAACGGCAAACATGCACGAATGCTTCTCGACCCATGAGTAGTTTGCATACTAAACCACTATGCTCTGAGAGTCTGGAACATCTGCAGCTCTGTGCACTGGCAGTTTTTATCCACTCATCAGTCCTGTACCAATAAAAATCATATGTATAATGCCAGCTGTCCATATATTCCAAAACAACTATTAATGATAATGATGCAATCTTCCATCATCAAGAAAGTTTAAATCATGTCAAGTCTACCTACATGAAGATTGCAAGAAAACATGTAACTCTACAAAATGTCCATGTCCCAGTTTGTGTAAATAAATCACAGAACTATCTCAGAAAATTGAAAAGTTTCTTGTGCAGAATATGGGATGAGGCAAAAGTTGGTATGCAGTTGTTCATATGGAAAATAATACAAAAATTAATAAATACTACAAGAATAAACCCTGTGTTTTGTGTACTTGCACCTGTAAACCTACTTTTGCCCCACCCTATATTTTATCCCTTCAGTATTTCCATATAACATAATTTTTGTACTAAGGCATGTAAATTAATTGGTAGATGACCTTTCAACCCAGTTCCAAGTAGTGAATTCTCCCTCCTCTGAATCAGTCAGATGTGAAGAAGAGGACAATGTATGCTGCCTCTTTCATTCAGTGAAGAATCTGTATATTTCTCTTCAGGCCCTGGTCTTTGGAGTTTCATTGCTCGGACGCTTAGTGGATACCTGCATAGCCGGGCAGCTTCGTCTTAGGGGAGCTGGGTGTGGACTGAAGCATATTGTCACTCTCATATGAGATGCAAACAGAAGCACTTTAAAACGCAGTAGTTTTCATGTTCAAACATTTTTAAAATAAAATAATGATTCTGTTTAAATAAGCTATCTGCTTTGAACTACACGTCGTACAGGTTGTTGAATCATCTGCTATTGGAAGAAGCCCCATCAGCAAAGCTCTAAACAGCCTTTTGGTCAATAGGCACGAAAGCTGGGGTTCTTGTGGCTTTGGTTTGAGTCTGTATATCATCTTGGCATTAGATCCCAACATGTAAGTTTTAACTAATAACACCTACAAATCCATTATTAATTGGTTCTTATGATAAGCCAACATGCCCTTTTTCCTTATAATTTAGATTAATGGCCTAAAATGTCTGTTGTATGTAAGGTTTTCATCATTCAGTCACCATGCAAAGCTAAACTTCTGCATCCCTTGTTTTCTATAAGATATATTATTGTATTTTCACCATGCCACTAATTGCTTTTCTTCTTGAAACAAATAAATCTTCAGTAAAATGCAGAATGCTGTTTGGGACTTCTCAGTTAACAATTTGTCAGCAAACTAAACTTTGGGATTTGTCATTTGTTTACATTTAGTTACTATATTTAAAATATATTATTTTCTAACCAATAAAGGCACTCTTTCATAAAAAAGAAGAAAATAGCATTTTTACAAACATGTAAGGTTTGCCTGTTCTGCCATTCTCCAGTGACATAGTCACATAATTACAGTCCAGGAGAGCCAGCCTTAGCTCACACACTGGTGATTCACACTGGGAAAACATATTGAAGGCAGTTCTTCAAATGCGTATTTTATAACCACGAAATTTTATGTTATTGAAGTGATATATGGAGTAGCCTGCATTGCTTACACTGAAGTCATTTTATAGGGGGAAAATACACTTTTAGGAATTTAATAGGTTATGCTTGTGTGTTCAAGGATTTTACTTATCTTAAATTCACTGATATTTTATTATTAATTATATTTTATTATTGGCTAAATAATGTGTGTCTTTGTTTCTTTCAGATAAATTGATGTAAATGATAAATTAATTGAACGAAAAAATGACTTTAATAGACCCCAGAATCTAAAATATTGCATGTTTGGTAATTGTGCATATTTATACATATGGTAGGGTATATATTTGTACATATAGTAGGATATTGTTTGGATATGGTAGTTCTCTAAAATGTTTTCACTTATATGGATTTCACAATGCTAAAATTCTTTAAATCTCATCAACATATATTATTTGAATAGAAAAATTTCTAATAAAATATTTAACATTGTTATATAGATCTTTGCACATAAAAATATATTTTGTTTTCTTATATTTATTACAGAAATAATGTGATGATCATTTAACTACTGAAAATAAAAAGCTTAGTAATAAAACTATAAAGCAACATTTTATACCAAATTTACTTTGAGTGACAAAGATTATTTTAAGAATTTTTCTAATGTATGAACAAGAAAGAGAGCAAAAGATCGGATAAGAATAAGAGATACTAGTGAAAATATTTTATCATTGTTTTCATTACCATAAATCAAAGAGACTGTAAAATTTGCCTTTATGTTTGGAAGAACAAGCTTTTTATTGACTGCCTTTCATAATTAATAGCATTTACTCTTTAAATCAAATTAGTCCACTTTTCCTATTAAAGCCTTACTGTGGGATCATTTTTTAAAGCACAAAATGACCTTGACAAAAATGAACGATCGATAATATGTTGATTAGGAGTCTATTTGCTCTAATAGCGAGTGTTTCCTTCTCGTTAGTTCCTGTTGCAAAACTCTCCAAGGTCGTAGTTCATTACTATCTCCTGGCAGTGGTATTTTCTACATGGAGAAAAAGTTGACCCTACTGAACAAAACACTGATGGATTGACTTAGTCATATATATGGATTTTTCTTAATACTTCTTTAATCAGCTCATTTTTTTAATTCAAGATTGTGTTACAGGATATCCATCAATTGGTCAGGAAGAGGAGAACAGTATGCTGTTGAAACTAGCATCCTCAGAAGTTCTGGAGTTAGACTTAATCAATGAGGGGTATGGGAGCCATGTTTTATTGCAGAAAAAGAAAGGCTTAATGTGACTGAGGTTTCAGAAAATCAAAATATGAGCATTAATGGGGAAATGGATAGCAGTGAGAAAGTGTACATATTATAGCAAGCTATTGGGTGCTGATCATTCTGCATGTTGATAAATGAAGTTAGAGAGGGTTGCACATAAGCCACTGGAGTTTTTGGAGAACGTAAGAAATTTTCTATAAAATGTGGTACTACTTATTACAGAGTAGTCTTCCTTTGAGAGTAACTTGAACAAAGGAAAACAAATGTTTAAGTGGCAGTACAACCAACAAACAGAAACCATTAATGACATTGTCTTTATCAATAATATATGTGGACTAGCTGGTCTAAGATAAATCTAGTCAAAGAAAAAAAAAGTTTGCTTGGCTAGCCAAGGGGAATAAAGGACAAATGAGGTGCAATTAAGCAGAGAACAATTTAGTATAATTCTAATAGCCAAGTCTTTAATGATGCTTTGGTACAGATGAATTTGATTTAGAGATATCTCCCAAGTTAAGTTGTGGAAACCCATCTCTTCCGTCACTTAAGTTTGGACAGGCCAAAGTTATTATGCTGAATGAGAAAATTGGAACCTCGGAGAGGGACTAAATGACCTAATTGATCTTCTTTGCCATTACTGATTTCTAGATACTACTATGAATTAAATGAAAAATAAAGGTCAATTTTTTGCTATTTAAGATAAAAGAAATGAACTGAACCTACAAGTTCTTACTTTTTTTTCATTCAGTATGCAGCTGTGTCTACCGTCTCCTCTCTTTTTGCCTGTCTCGTCTGACTTACGTTGTTCTCAGTCATGTGCTTTAAAGTGGTGTTCACAACCTTCATATTAAAAATCCCTTCAGAGAGTTTGAGTGCAGTGTTTCTAAACCTAAATAGTAGACACAGAGTTTCTTGTCCTAACCTAGAAACAAGTGTGTCATTGGGAGCTATAAAAACATTAATTATCCTTGGCTGCTTCATAAGCAACTGGTGGACCAATAAGATAGTGAAATAAATGGTGAGGGGAAGGAAGAAAAGATAAAGGCCCAGAGATGTTGTATCAGCTAAATTGGCAATATAGATCTTGTATGATCTTTAGAAATTAATTTGATACCATGGAATAGGGCAACGGAGGGGGAGCAAACTTTTTCTGGAAGGTCCAATTAGTAAATATGTAAATTTGCAGGCTAGTATGCAAAATTAAGGATGTTTTATACATTATTATATAACAAGAAAACAAATTTCCATACTTTTTACTGGTAACATTAAATATGTAATACTGAGTGCTTATTTTTGTAATACTTGTTTACTAATAAGAATGGATTTCTGATTTGAAAGAGGACCATTTTGCTTATCTCTGGTTCAAAGTTGGAGTTCCTTGTCATGAAAAGAGGCCTGTTTGGCTCCGTAAGCCATTGTTTGCCTAATCTTTTCCTAACATGCCTTGACGTAGGGTATAGCTACTTTTGCAGAAGTGTTGTCTCCTGTGTTGTATAGAATAAAGGTTCTCTAATCTCTTAAATGTGATCAAATACCCTTGAATTATTATTCTATTCATTGTGATTGTGTATCAGTCGGAACCACTTTTTTGCCAGGGGGATTACGAACTTCCAATAAGATTTGACCAAAATTATTTATTTGTGACCAGTCTCCACTCCCTAAGGGCAGGCAGCGGCACCAGATCGGCCTCACACAGGGATTTCACTTTAACAGTGCTCCTCACAGCCCTGGTGAGACCTGAGTAGTGATCTACTGAAAATGGCCTGATCTTTTGCTGCAGAGACAAAGTAATAGTGTTAATTTATATTCCTATACATTCATTTTCGTACTGATTTATTTATACATTTTTCCCAATAATCATATTTTAAATACATGCTCCGTTCCATTTCACTGGTAATTATTATGATGCAGAAATATGGGATGAGTGCTTTTCTTCGGCAGATGATGGCATCATGGTGTAAACTAGCCTCTTGCTGACGGGCAGTGTTGCCTAATAGTGACACTTTCCAGGCAAAGGCTATACTCTTATAACTTAAAATGGTTTCAAGAGGCAAATTCAACTCTATCAATATAACATTATTCTCTATATAAATTGGTGTTTTTCAAATATATCAGCATACAAATGCAGCAAATAAAAAGTTAGAAATTTTATATGCATTAAAAATTTTCAAATCAGACAATATCAAAAGCATATGCTAAAAGTTTTTTATCAAACAAGAAATGGCCAGGTATTTTTTTTTCCCTCACGCTACCTATAAAGCGTTCTTCTGGGAAATACATGAATTTTTTGAGTTATTGCTCTTATTTAAATTTTCAAACAAATTAACTAAAACAATATTTTAACAAGGATATTAGAGTGTAATCCTACATGAAAACTCAATTTTGTAAAAAAGCTCAGTTATTTCTGTGTGATTCTCATTTGTACAATTAGCAGAGTCTAACAATATATGTTTCTTAAGTTACCTTGAGAATACAGTTAGCATTTTGCAATCACTGCTAAAGAATTAGAAGTATGAATTCCAAGTGTTCATATATCATATTTGAAAAACAAAAATAGCCTCGTTGCATGGTAGTTTAAGTTACATCTTCTATCTTCCCTGGAACCTCACCGCTCAGGAAGGATGGAGAGTACGAAGGATCTGAGCTCTGTAGAGATAGTTGGCTTGGCTTGCCAGCACCAAGCTCTGAGTCAGGCTGTGACCACAGACTTACTCAAACTGCAGCAAAAACCAAAAGAGATAAAACTATACATCTCCACATATTGATATTTAATTGAAGTCTTAAAATAAATTAATGTGATATTTTTACTAAATTTATTATTTTAATCATAAGAATGCCTTTAATGAGCCAGTGGAGATAATAAATTGTTAAAATTAGTGTATACTAAGTTTAATTTTGATTTTTAATTTTAATTAAAATTAAATTAAAACTTTTAATTTTTCCCAGTGACAGATTACAAAAAATTTAATTTCTCTCTAATTTAAGATCTAATCTGTTTAAAGCTGAAACAAACTTCCCAGAAATTGAAGAGTTGAGTGATTAAAGAAGGAAACAGCAAAAATTCTCTCCACAGAACAAGTCATTTTACTACTCTAAGTTAATATCGCTTAATTAAATCACCTTTTTTCTTAAATTACTATATTTTGCAAACACAGTCCATCTAAATTCTGTTGTGCTATTTTACTTAATTATATCTCTCCTTTTCAATAATTTTGTGATAATTTTACTTAAGTAAAATTATGAGAAAGATCTCAATGAAATAACCGAAAATTTTTTTCATTTGTTTTATCATAATTGTCATTTTGTTGAAGAAATGTCTGGTGAGCTATAAATACCTACATTTGAAAGTTCCAAATAATCATAATTCATCCATTTTTTTGTGTTTCTTACCAAGAAATCAATAAAATGTCATAAGAATTAAGCGTATAAAATAGTTCAAAGATAAATTATTATTTCATTATAACTTCCTCATATTAATCTGGGAAATATGGATGGAACTTAAAAGAGAGTATCAGTTCATCAAGTTGAAAAAGGCAAGTGAAAATTAATTCCTTCAAGGAATTATCTTTTCCCCAACATTCTCTTCTTCCAAGATCCTCAAGAATGTCATTATCAAATTATTATAGCAACTTATTAAAGTGAAATGAGTAAGAGTGTGAGAGATTTCCATTTGCCGACAAGGAGAAAGGGAAGCATTTTGGTTTATAGCAGCAGAGACTAGCTTTTCCTGCTTTGAATCACACCGATACTTAAACAGAAATATTAGACAAGGATTAGGAGGTCTAAAGAACGATCCTGCAGCACGTAGCTTTAGGAATATCCTAGTTTACTTAGAAATGAGTAAGTAGTATTTCCTATCTCGAAACAGCAGTGATAAATGCCTCCTCACACTTAAATGACTGCCTGTACCCCCAGTCAGGGTTTTTAGGTCATTTGCCAACCAGTACAACTGTGAGTTGTAACGTCCCCCTCGCTGTGTTGGAAGTGTTTCACCGTAAACGGGGTAGAATGGGATGGCCTCATCCTTTAACTTTAACAAGGGCTGCTGATGGATGTGGTCCATTTAAATGTCCAACAGAGAGCTGGACTAGATAACGAACTTATTATTCCTCTCGGAGGATTATAGGTTAGTCCCGAAGGAGTGCAGTAAACCAGAGCAAATCCATATCTACTGGCTAAACAATAGCCAGAAGGCTGACTAGAAATATTGATTTACTTTCTAGGCCATTTAGGCCTTAATGGCAGAGAAAAGCTGAAGTGCTGTTTACTTTTCTGCCAGAATCGACCAAACAACCAGTCCATTTTTTACAGGTTTTTGATTGATTTCGCTTAGAGGAATTAGAGGTGATTTATTTTTAAGCTGAAAGCAACTCGTAAATATCTTCAACTGCACAGGTTCCCTGAGAGGAAATGTTAAGTGGAAATACTTATTGAGGAATACTTTGTTGCAAATCAATGGGAATAGGTATCATGCCTCACTAGGAGCAGTCAGATGTCAGACACCTTTCCAGAGCCCTGTCAGGACTATAATCTCATCCCTTCAGCTCCTCTCCTTTTGAAAGCTCTCAAGTTCACCAAGCTTGAATAAATTTAATCGCCTGACTGAATTTCAGCCAGATGCACCCTGCTGTTTTCAAAGGGTCCTAGATGGGACAACATAATGGTGTGCAAGGCTCATATGGAGCATTTTCGAAGTTTGATGGGTGAAAACAGTAATTTATCACACAAGTGGCAATTTTCCATGATTCCTCAATCCCATACACAGAAAATGTAGAACTCCAACAAAGGAATGAAGCAGACACACAAAAGAGGGCTCATCCCAAATGCTCCCGTGCCAGTCTGACTTTTAAAAAAGACATCGACTCTCACATCGGCGATACCATTGAGAGATGCGCTCCAACAATAACAACAAGAAATAATTTGTGATTTGCTGTTCAGGCTGGCAAGGTGTGAGGAGGCTAGAGTGAAGGAGGTCGTCCGTGTTTTAAATGACCTTTCCAGGAGTGCTTGCCTTCATGTTCAGAACGAGTTAACAAAGGGCTAAAGGACAGCACTTGAAATTCTATATAAAAGCTCTCTACTATGTTGGCAGGAGAGGGAGAAGGAAGTTCAAGAAGCTTCTGATTTCATCTCTGTGCTCTTTTCTCAGCTGTCCTCACCACATCCACATCTTGCACATTTGTTTGAAATGGTGCCGTTTAAGAAAGTGGCCAGTGTTCTTTCTTTTCTCCACCTTCCTGAAAGAATGTTAAAAATATATAATATCAATTAAAATCAATGCTGAAACTTGGCATTCATCAACCCACTCATTGTTAAACCTTTCAAAGATGTACAGTCATCTTTCTTTCATAATATTTTCTCTTCCTGACAATAAAACCATAGTTACATATTGTAGAAAATTTCAAGAACACATTCCATTTTAAATATTAAAAAGATCATCCATAAACTCTTCAGCTTAGAATAAGCACTGTTGTCTTTATATTTTTCTTTCTAGTCTTTTCCTTTTTGGCTCAGGTATTTATGTAAATTTGCTTAATATTTTAAAAATCAGAACAACTGCATATCATTTTGTGAGCATTTTACATCCTCAGAAGAGGCTCCTCCTTCAAATTGTGGTACCAATATTTCCTAGGAGTGGGAGCTTAAAAATGGCACTCCTCTACCTGACAATACTAAGCGGTGACATGGGAATAATACTAGATCACTTCATTCCTGTGATTGTGTTGAGAGGACAAAAATGTGAAAAAAAGGGGGAAAAGGTACCATAACAGGAATGCTGGTCTCAATCACTTGAGTTTGTTGCTGAAAAATTGTTTTACGCGAGTCTTCCATGTATCTTACTTTCACAGTATAAAATTCAGCTCCGCACCTGCTTTCTGCCATGTCTCTTAATTGTCATTAGAGGGACCAAAGAATAGATGAAGGGTCCTGTAACACAGACCTTTAAAAAAGAATAAATGTAACAATTAATTAATGTTAAAAATCTTGTTGGTTTATTTTTCCCCTCTTTCGTTCTTTACTTTTCACATGGATACGTTTGATCAGTTCGAGGAGGTCAGGCCTCCTGGGAGAGAAGCTGTCCGTGTGTGTGCTGGTAAGCGTGAATGGCCACGCTTGCTGGAGTTCACCAGAGGCATAGCCAGCCATAGCTCTGCTGTAATTACTGTAGACCAAGGGCAGGGGTAATTTATGGGCTGACAAAGTACACTTTCTTTCTCACTTATCTATTGCCTTTCACTAGAATCTGTGCAACTATTTTAGCAACTGGCACATGGCTCTGTCATGGCTGCTGTGGCAAAAAAAAAAACAAAAAACAAAAAACGAATTACCTTATCACCACAGAACTATCTAGATGAATGAGGTTACTTAATTAGAAGAGGATAGTACTTGATACAAAGTCACGTGTTAGGGCAAAGGTGAAAATCAGCCTAGGCTCCCTAAGTATAGAGGTGTGAGACATAAAATGACATAAGAATTAAGTGTATAAAATAGGTTGAAGACAAATTATTACTTCATTATGACTCCCTCATAGTAAGCTGGGAAACATGGATGGCACTTAAAAGAGAGTATCAGTTCATCAAGTTGAAAAGGCAAGTGAAAATCCATTCCTTCAAGGAATTATCTTCCCCAAGACTCTCTTCATTTTTCCTCTCATCCTGGGAATTTAAATGGAGATACTTGTGAGGAACAAGTATAAAGCTCAAAGAAATTTTTCTAAAAACTCATTTCTGAGTGAAATAGATCAGTGAAGAAAACAACAGCTGTTATCATAGAGCTGAACTGGATTTGAAAATGCTAGCTTAAAACAATGATTAAAAATGCAATACTGCATGATGACATTAGAAGCACCAGTTCAGAGCGGAATTTCCCACACGCCATGTGGGACTGTAGTTGAAATATATTAATCGTTCCCATATTCAAACAAGTTCAAGTAAGTCCCACAACCTTCACCCTTGGAAACTCACATTCAGCATAATATTTTCAAGGCTTCGTGAGGTTTTTGTATCTTAGTTTTTACTAACCTCTCACTGAAATTCTTTCCTTCAATTTGAATGAAGACAAGCTCTAACAATATTAGCAGTAGCTGAAACTTTGTCCTTAAATAAGTCATGTTTTCATATTATGAAATATTATTTATATTCATTACTATTTCTAAATGATGGTGGGTATTGGATGCACCAAGAGATCTTATTATTTAAGGAATTAATAAAAATACTTGCATTGATATGGCAGAAATTTATTTTTATATTTTGATAATTGCACTTCAGTAAAATTCGTTTGCCCTTGAAACCTTATACATTTTGTTTTATCTATTAAAACAGCATTATTCCGAGGAGGGTGCTGTCAAAACTCTGTCACACAAAGAGCAGTTTAAAAACCTTTGCTATCGACAAGCTCATTTAACTCTGTCCAACCTAGTAATCTCCAAACTTCTTTATTCAGTGATCCTTTTATTTTTCCCAGTGATGACCACATTAGAATGAGTCATCTAAGGAACACTGTTTAGAATATTCTGGCATCACCTTTGCCTCACTGACCTACAGCATTTTCCCTCGAACTCTGTTTATAGTTGGCTGCCTCAACAGGAAGGATCGTGTGCTGAGTTCACAGAATCATTAATATCCTTCTATACAGTGCACTTCCAAGATGGTGATATTATAAGTATCTGTCCCCCAGTTCTTTTGGCTGTGGGATCCCTTTCTCTTTCAGAACAGGACTTAGGAGCTAGCATTGAGCAGGAAATACGCATGAGATATTGTGCCAGTCCATTTTAAGTGATTAATGGGAAGCTTTGAGCTACTATGTAAGTGCAGGTAAAAATCATATTTTTGTTTACAGAAAAAACAGTGAGGGGATATGGCACAGCTTCTACCGCTGAGATAGAATACCACAAGACACGTTCCTTTTGAGAGAAGTGATTGATTATTGGCAAACACCTGTTCAATCCTGGGGTTTTCTCATTTTCCACAGGTTTTCTTAGTGCTGTTTACATTTAAGGCCAGAGAGTTCTTTATGATGGACAGCTGCCCTGCACGTTGTAATAAGATGCTTAGCAGCACCCCAGGCCTTAGCCAGTAGATGTCAGTGGCAGCTGCCTCCTCCATCCCCCAACCTGCCCCAGTTGTGACGATTGTGATGACCAAAAAATTGTCTCCAGATATTGGCAAATATCTGCTGACAGGCAAAATGGCCCCCTCTTGAGAACCACTGGAGTAAATGTTTAGCTTATAAGAGGGAGACATTTGCCATTCTCTAAGAATGAATCAGTAAAAACTGATTAGTCTGCTAAATGATTAAATATTATAACTATAAAAATATATTTTCCAGGAGAGTTCCATTTTGATATACATTTGAGATATCAAAAACATATTTGATATACTTTTAGGTACTCTTTCAACCTTCTTCTAAATGTCAGGGAGGCTCAGTTTTTCTTGTATTTACTTTGTTATGCTTTATGTCAAGGATCAGTAAATGTTTTTCTACATTATTCCAAATACTCAATATTTTAGGCTCTGTGGGTCAGACATCTGACACAACTACTTGATTCTGTCATAAGTGACTGAAGGCAGCCACTGACAGACAATATATAGATATTTGAGAGTGGCTGTGTTTCAATAAAACTTTATTTACACACATACAAACACAAAAGCAGACCAAATTTGACCAGCAATCCATATTTGGCAGCCCTTGCCTTAAATACGATGTAGTAATTTTAGGTCTAGAAAAAGGAAAGGTGCTCTCTAAGAAATGCTACTTCATGTATTTGATATATATTTAAGTAATCTTTAAACCATATTATATTCAAAATGCCATTATCTCTTTTCTAAAAGTTTGTTTACATGAATTAATGTATTAGCTTGGCCTATTCCTCACAGATTTGTTAACATTTTGGTATCTTGTGCTTGAAACTAAGGTGGAGATGACGAAGTGGGCTGTTACAGAAATGCCAGGCAGTGCATACCTCATCTCTAAAAGCCTCTCAGTCCGTGATTAATGATGACCTAGACAGCCGCGAAATGTAGTCAATCTCCGTTCTTCTAAACAAACTGTATGCTTTATTAAAACACACCAGTATGAATGCCAATTAAGATGTCCTGTGTCAACAGGCTATGTCTAATGACACCATTTCATAGCCATGCTCCCCTCCTTCCTTAGAGTTTGAATTCCAGGTATAATTCAGGGTGATAATGGATTCAACTCAAAGACAGCGCTTCCTAGATGCTTGCAATTACACGTGGCTGAGTGAGTTGGGTTATGGCCCATGAAACATACAAAAGTGGTGTGTAGGACATCCAGGAAGGATGTTTAAAAAGTTGATTCAGGGAAGAGCTTCTTTTTGCTCACCTTTGCTTCTTCATTCTGCTGGTCTGGTATGTTGATATGAGGGCTGGAGTAACAAAAGCCATGGTAACTATGAGCATAGAATGCATACAGTGAGGATGGCAGAACAGTAAGATAGGAATCTGGGTCCCTGATGATATTGATAAATGAGCACACAGGCCTGCGTACCTCCTGAGGGCTTCTAAACGGAAAATAAACTATCTCCTTTTGGGTAATGTGGCTATGGATTTTATGTTTTATGCTGTAAAATCTAATGACAATTGATTAGATCCGTCATGAGTTTGAATATAATTGTAATACTCATTTGATGACCATATGAAACCCTGACTTCTAAGCATTACTTTAGGAGCTGGTATACCTCAGACAAACAGCCAAGGCATCAATCCCAAAAAGGAAAGAGGTGGGGGACAAGAAATGATATTTAAGGACCCTGTGTTCTCCTCAGATGTTATTCTCTCAGAGTGAGTGAAGCCATTTGAAGTAGAAACTATTCCTGAAAAAAAAAAGTGGTTCTGTTGAATCTTGTTTTTACTATAGATCTTGCTTTTCAGTTCACTCCAAAAGAAAAGAAGGATGTTCTTACTCAGAACTCTCAAAATAGTGCCAACAGGGCAATCAGAGAGGAATGAAGCTGCTGAATTACTTGCCTTACCAGCCCAGTGTCCTCAAGGATCCCCTCTGGGCTCTTCCTCGCCCTGTATTCCACCCTGGCGGCTCAGTGAGCCACTGCACCCAGCTGAGAGTCACCACCGTTGGGCTGTTCAAAGACTCGGAGATGTCCCAGCAAGTCTTCTTTTCTCGCCCAGACACCTTCTGTTTTTCCTTCTTGACCTATAGCTACGGGGAAAAGGTCATGACAATAAAAACTCATAAGCTTTATGGTCCTCCATTGTAAACATTCCACTGAAATTCTTAATTTCCTAAGAGCTGCTTTTCTGGCTTGTAATACTCCCTTAGTAAGTTTACCTAACTGGTCATACCTGTCAGTAGGATGTACAGAAATTACTCTTGAGAATAAGTCAAGTCTGTGCCTTTTACAGGACCACCTGTACTTTAGGTTTTATAAACTCAGGGATGTGTGTGTATGTGTGAGTGCATGAGTGAAGTTGTGCCCATGATGCAAGTGTTGAAAAGATCACTGAAAATGGATGAGCAGAAATGCTGAAGGAAAGTGTATTTGAACCAACGAAGAGGCACGCTCTTCTCTATACATTGTATGTGCCCTGATGAATAACAGTGGCGGGCAAAAATGCTCCTGTTTGAGTATCTGCACAAGTATGCTATTAATTATGGGTAATTATAGTTCACAGAAGTCATACTCCACTCCCATTGTCTAAGTCACTCTCTCCTGCTGGCTCCATGTGCAGCCTTATGTTCTTGAGAGAAGCATCCAGGCAGCTGCTGCCAGCCCATCAGAGGTGAAATCTCAGGTGAAACCTATCTGCAGTCCCAAGACTAAGTTGCCTTGGAAAACTAAGATGGGGAAAAGAGATGGCTGAATTTGAACCTATGTGCTATGCATACCCCAGGGCACAGGAAGAAATCACACTGACAAAATGAAAAGATTGTAATTATTGCACAGAATTGGTAGAATCAAAAACCAAAGCTATAGGTTTTGGGTGCTATTTCACTTGAAGCACAGATGGAAACTGAAATTGCAGTAAACATCATCACTATCCTGCTGAAACCAGTATTAGGGAAAGGTTTGTGATTAGGCCATGGCTAAAAATAGAAAGAAATGGAGAGAACGCCTACTTTCTGGAGACCAAACAGAGGCATTCCTGAAAACTGCATGTAACTCCAAGGGGAATCTCTCAGTTTTAAGATCACCCTTTCAACTCCTGTAATTTCCATATCCTCATATCTAACATGTTTATATGAATTACTACTATCTCAAACGGTTACTATCTGATTTAAATAAAATAATACATGTAAAGCTTTTTAAATAGTATCTGGCATAGAAGCCACTTGATAAATCCTTATTATCCTTAGGGCTGCCCCTGAGGTCCTCAGGGCCTGGAACAAAAGTACAAGTGGAGGTCCACATACCATATATGTACATATTTAAAGGTTTTAAATCAATCTATCCAACTTGCTTATTGATGTTAAATAAAATAGGCTCTGTCTGATAGTTTGGCATAATGACACAGAAGGCCAATTTCCAGCTCTTTAGAGTTTCTCAGCTGGCAGTGGCAGCACAGAGGAACTAGCCTCTGGTCCCAGCTCTCAGAGTGAACTTCCCCCACCTCTAGCGTGGTCCCGCGCTGTGCGGAGTTTCACTGTCACCTGCAGGGCTCCCCAGTCTGCACGGATCTGCTGCACAAGGCAGCTCCTTGGCCAACGCTTGGGCCTAAGAAGCACATTCTGCTGTGAGGAAAGAGGACTTCCTGGGCTCTAGAAGTGGGCATGGGTCTATTTGGGCAGAGATGAAAAGAGGAATTGTTGTATTAAAAGCGATCGTTTCAAGTCAGCTGAAGTCATCAAACATCCAGACACTTGACATCAGTCAGGGGTCCCCCCCCACCCTCTTTCCTTTTCCTCTGAATCATCAAATTTCTCAAGTTCAGGCAAGAAACGGAAAGTGGGGAGAAAATAACTCCATGATTTCTTTGAGGAACTTAATGATGGATTTCATCATAGAATTTCTTGTAGCAGGGGTGTGTGAACTGGAAAGTTGGTTCAACAAAAACGATTTTGTACATAGTTACAAATGATGAAAGAAATAGGTACTCTTATTTAAAGAGGGTTTGAAAAAACAAACACTTGTTAAATTCAGCATAATGAGAGAAGAAAATGAACCCAGAGAAATGACCTCCAATTACAAGTAACAAATTTAGAAAATGAAGAGATCTAGTATAATGGGAAAAAGCCTTAAAACATGTATGTGGCATAACTGTCTACAGTACTCTTAAAATAAAAGAATGTTGGTATAAACTTTTATAAAATTGTTTTTTTTCAAATGACATTTTCTCAAATCTTATTGTGAATTTTTTTTTGCATTTTAAGTAGAAAGCAAGATTTTTTAAAAATTGTGCTCAGCTACAGTTGTCCTACCATTTTCCCCGTTGCTCTCCCCTATCCTACCCTCCAAGTCCCCCTCACAGTCAATCTCTGCCATGGTCCATGACCATGACTCCTCTATTTGTGTTCTTTGACTTGCCCCTTCCCTTTCTTTTCCCCGTTATCCCCCTCTCCCCTCCCCTCAGGTTACTGTCAGTTGATTCTTTATTTCAATGTCTCTGGTTGTATTTTGCTTGCTTGTTTGTTTTGTTTATTAGGTTCCACTTATAGGTGAGGTCATATTGTATTTGTCTTTTACTGCCTGGCTTATTTCACTTAGCATAATACTCTGCACAAACCCTGACAAAACACCAATGATATATTTCACACATACGGAACAAATATCTCAGAATTTATATGGAACCATAAATGATCCCAAATAGCCTCAGCAATTTTGAGAAAGAAGAACAAAGTAGGAGGGATCATAATACCTGATATCAAACTATGCTACAAGGTCACTATAATCAAAACAGTCTAGTACTGGCATAAGAACAGACACATAGATCAATGCAACAGAATAGAGAGCCCAGAAATAAACCCAAGTCTCTATGGTTAATATTTGACAAAGGGGGAAGAAGCATAAACTAGAGTAAAAAATAGCCTGTTCAACTAATCTACACAGCTACATGCAAAAAAATGAAACTGGACCACCAACTTATACCATACACAAAAATAAACTCAAAATGGATAAAAGATTTAAATACAGAGTTATTATTTTCAGTACATATCTCATCACATGCATTCACCTAAATCTATGAGTGTTTTATACAAAAAACTTGGGTTGAGAATTGGGGGAGGCAGAGGAAAGTAAAGGGAGGATAAACTGGGATGTAAGCAGACTTGACTTGGGGTGATGAATACACAATACAATATACAGATGATGCATTGTACAGTTGTGCACTTGAAACCTATGAAATTTTATTAACCAGTATCACTCAAATAAATTCACTAAAAATTAAAAATGAAACAAAAAACATTGGTTCAGGCATTTGATGTTAGCCCCTAATGGAAATAGTCAATGTATCTATGATAATTATTAGATAATTTTCTTTCCTTTATAAAGACTGATTATATAATTATGTAGGGTGTACTTGTCTTTTTGAATTACTACAGATCCCTCTCTACTACATTTTTAAATTTATATTTTGGAATAATCTTAAATTTATAGAAAGTTTGCAAAATGGTATAGGGAATTTCTATATACCTTTTATAGTTTCCCCTAAAGTTAACATCCTACATAGTCATGATTTATTTGCCAAACTGAGAACCGAAAGTTCAAAACTAAGAAATTAACATTACTGTCTTTTTGACTGTTTACATGGACAAATGGATCACAACGTCATCCTCTCTGCCTCTAGATATAACTGACTCTCTGAAGAGAATCAGTGTTCATTCATAAATAGGCCAACTTCAAAATTAGTAATGAGGAAAAGGGACCTTGTGGGCCTGGACTTAAATTCGTCTGTCTTCCCTTAGTTTCTGCTTTCAGGGGAAGCTTTTCTCCTGTGCAGCCGTATAGTACATGCAGTTTTGGCCGGGCCATCCTGGGTGAAGACTCAACTATCTGAAGAATGTCTGACTGGGTCGCTCTGGGACACTTCAGTTGCCCTGCAGAATCACAGGGAACACTTAGAAGGCTGGCAGATCCAAGAAATTCTCATTCTAGGAAATCCCTTTCTGAATCAGAAAGACAAAAACTTCAGGCCATCATCAAAGGCACATTCTGCAGAAGGGACATTATTGTACTGCCTACAGAGCCACTTCAGAAGGGACAGCCCAAGCCCCTGGAGGTGAACAATTCTGCTCATAGCCGAGGGGAGCACAGCACCCCCACAACCACCCTTGTTCCCCAGGGAGCTGGGAACCGTATCTGTCTAGAGTCCCCAGAAGAGACCAGGGATCCAGGAGAAAGGTCCAACCAATGCAAAGTATATGATTACTTATGGGAGACAGCGTGCATTGTTACCAAAGATCACTTGGAGTCCTGGCTAGGTATATTGTTTTAGTAGACACTATTTTAATGCACATCGTTTGGAGCTGCATTGCTTACCAAGTTTTAAGTACATATTACCAGTCTTTACTAAAATGACTGAAGTACTTCCATACCTGTCCTAGAAAAATAAGAATGTTCACTGGGAAGTTTCAAAATAAAAGACAAAAGCATGGCCTTGAAGAAAAGAAAGTCCATACTTTAAATGATAAAGCAAATCAAAAAAGTTTAACAAGACTACCATCAATGCAATTTTTCATTTTTCATTTTAAATTAAATCATGGGAATAAAACAATTTTCTTTTTTCTTTCTCTCTTAAGAGCTTAGTACATTATAATAGATATGACATTGAGTGATTACTAAATTAATGAAACCATTGTTAGAGTTCTCTACAAGTTTAGAGATAGATTTATAAAAGGTACATTTGGCTGGCTTGCTGCTCAGGCCTCTTTTTGTCTCTTTCCGTTTTGAAACTGCCTAATCAGGAGACAATTCCACACAAAGGGTCAAAGGATGAAATCCACTGAGAAAGACCTCAGAATATCATGATGCAAAATAAGGTTCATGGTTGCTGTAGCATCATCACTTGAACCTGCAAAACTTATGTGTCCTAAATATTGGCTTAAGTTACAAAGGTCACATGTGGCTTTGTGCCTTGGGTCTCCTGGAAAATTTGCCCATGACTTCGGGGGCCAGGAAGGGGCCCTAAAATCTCACACCATCAGTAAAATTTCTCTTCCAAGTTTAGTCATTTGTAGAAAGCCTGCATATACCTCAAGGAACAATATTATGCCCCAGCTAATGTGGCTCAGTGGATTGGGCATCCTTCTGCAAACCAAAAGGTTGCCAGTTCCATTCCCAGTCAGGGCACATGCCTGGGTTGCAGGCGAAGTCCCTTGTTGGGGGCATGTGAAAGGCAACCGATGGACGTTTCTCTCTCCCATGGATGTTTCTCTTCCTCTTGTTCTCCCTTCCTTCCCCTCTTCCTAAAAATAAATAAATAAAACCTTCTTTTAAAAAAAGGAACAAGATTACAATTTGAATGTTTGATGAACCTTTCATCAATCTGTCTGCTTAGAAATCTCTAAGTGCTTCTTACCCACCTTAGAAAATTATTTAGCACAAAGCATTCATAAAATGGCTTTACATCAGTTTAGCATTAAAATAAGCGACACCCATGCTTCTGAAGGATCAGGGCATGAGGAGGATAAGGTTTTATAAGGCTTTTATAATTCCATTCCTTCAAGTTGAGAGCATTGTAACAATGGTTTCATTAATTTGTGAATCATTCAATGTCATCTCTGCAATAAAGTACCGGACTTTTAATGGGCTTAGGGAGAGAGAAAAATTATTCCATGATTTAATTTAAAATGAAAAATTGCATAGTTAGTAACTTTGTTAATTTTTTTTTGGACAGAGTTTGGTCAAATCTCCATGTCATGTAAGGTTATTTTTGTGATGAGAGTATGCATGTTTTCATAATCCTTGTGATAAGAATGATAGAAAATATGTAAAATATTACATAATGGATTAGGTTACTTATAGAATTAAAGAGTGTTTTGAGAAATATAAGAGGTTACCATGGTGGCTTGCAGCAGTTGACTTCAAAGATTACTTTCACCGACCTCCGATTTCAGCCACAGCTGCCTTGGGTGTTGTGCCCACTCGGACCCACCCCCAGCTGCCAGCCTGCTGCATTGCTGACTGGGTGTCCACCTGCTTTCCACGTTAGAGCCTTACTCTCTGGGCAGAGACAAGAAAGGCAAGAGAGAGCCACTTCTGTTCTCTTGTGTCTTAGATCTCTGCGTAACAGGTGTACAGCCAGTATCTTTATGAGTAGAAAACTAAAACGAAATCATTATTGAAACAAGTTTGAGCCAAGATTTCAAACCTGGTCTCTTTGCTGTCTGGTCTGGTTCAAATACTAAGACCCTCATGTTGAAGCTGGAAATGTATTCATTCACTTATTCAACAAACATGTACATAGAACTTAGAACATGTGGGCACTGAGCCACGAAATAAAATCACTGGTCTCGAGGAACTTCTAGTCTTTGGGAGAGGGAGGCAATTGATAGGTGAACTATCAGTACATCACATGGTAGGTAGTTCAACAGAAGAAATGTAAGGCAGGGGATGCCAGTCAAAGGTGGCATTTAAATAGGCCCCCAAAATGCATGTGGTTATTGGGGAGAAGAAAATTCTAGGCAGAAGGAATGGCAAGTAGAGGGAGTGGAGAGAGGTCTGTGACTGGCCTGAGCAAAAACTCAGAAAGGAAACCAACCTGACCTTGAACTACCAATTCTCTCTGTCTCAAGGTTTTTCCTTTTGTAAAATTAAGGTCATACTGATAGCAAAGTCACTGTGAGTTGAATGTGGCATTTATGTAAAACACATAGTATGTGTTCAACAAATGTTAGCTCTTACTGTTATCACTCGTTCAGTTTCACATGTTGAAGGAAACCGCAGTGAAGGTTTTGGATTCAGCATATTGCATATTTAGGTGAAAATGAAAACTGTTACCCTTTGTGGAAGGCTCTCCCAGCAAAGGTGTGGCTTTTCCTCAGCCTTCGCTCGCATTAACAATGGTCTGGTTCTGTTGTTCTTCTTGCCTTGGTGTGTGGCATGTGCCATGTATGAACCCTCAAAATTTTCTCTTTGGGGTTGAAGGGGAGGACATTTTAAAAAACCTGTCTAGTCACAGAGGAAAGTATGGGATGCTTTATATGTAGAAGAACTGATTTAGTTTGGGTCATCTAGGGCTAAAAGTGAAGAAAGATTTTTAGGTGAAGAATGAGAAAAAAGAAACTTTTTTTAGGCAGAGGGAGTATCATAGGTAAAGTGTCTGTCCGCTCCTTAGGGGACATCTAGCAATGTCTGGAGACATGTATGATTGTCACACTGAAGTGCTATTGGCACATGGGAAGTTGAGGCCAGGCGTGCTGCTAACCATCCTACAATGCATAGGACAATCCCCCACAACAAAGAATTGTCTGACCCTTAAGCATCAATAATGCTGAGATTGAAACATCCTGCTCTAAGGCAAGAAAGTGTGTTCATTGAGGAATGAAAGGAGCCCCCTGTGATGAGCTGTTATCGGCACAGAGGTGTTAAGACAGGATCTAGATCATATAGGATTTTGTAGGTTTAATTAGATTGTATCCAAAACTCAAACAAAGTCACTGAAGGATAATCAGGATGTATGGGGTTGGGGGGGGGGGTGCAGTGAGGGCACAGAGGACAGACGGTGATGGCAAAGCTTGATTTACATGGGACAGATTACTGTACCAGGAGTTTCAGCTGAGGCCCATTGCAAAGGAAGCTGCTAATACAGAACCAGCGGGGAGACTGTTTCTGCACTCTTCCGCACACAGGTGTAAAAGAGCCAACTGGTGGCAGTGGGAAGGTTTTTGAAGAGGATTTCCCTGGAGGGAAATATGCTGTAGGTTCACTTTAGCCCTTCAGGTGGAGGAAGCTCCTACTATCAGCACCTAACCCAGAGTGGGAGAGGAGGTTAAGGAGATCTTTATATGTGTCCATGCTTCGTGGGACAAGTATGAGTCACATCTGAAAGGTAATGGGCAGGAAGCTGACTGAGCAGGCTGAGATGGCAGAGCCGAAGACTGCAGTTTGGAGGAGTACTGTGTTCTCTGAGTTTGCCACAGCAAAACACGCAGCGGGAGGGCTGGCTGTATGAGGCTGGGAGTAAAGGAGGGGAGACCATGAGCTACTATAGATTGTTTTTTTACATCTGTCAGAGGACAAAGTGGCCTCAAGAGAAGGGAATTTAAGTTAGGTTAGCGGCCATCAGGAGATGGGGACAAGGTCAAAAGGGACCAGCTGGGATGGCAATGCTCTCGACCGAGTCGAACTATCTGCAATGCTGTGGGTGAAGAGGGAGAGCAGTGTAGTGTGGAATCTCTGAAGAATGAAAGAGAGAAGTAAATTTAAAAAGATGAAGAAAACTGGAAAGAGCAGTGGGAGTGTTCCCCTGCGATACACATCAAGATCTTGCTCTCCTTACCTCCAGATTGGAAGAGGCAGAGAACAGGGGTGGAGGGAGCAGGAAGAGCAGTCCTCTGTCAGACGTGACTGAGCAATGCGCCCTCTCCTCCCTTTTCTTCTCACACACTTTCTTCTTGCCTCAGCCGTCGGATAGGTAGGACAGGAAAGAAATTTTGACTTTAAATTAGGTTAGGAGTTTTTATCAAATTAGCATTTTAATTAATGAACTGAAATTTTATTTTGAGCAAAGACCTAATTATCTCTTTAGAATAAATTTAAAGACAAATTTGAAAAATTATTTCGTTTGTGATAACATTACTTCAATTGTTTGAATTCAATATAATAGTTACTGGTTCACAAATGGTCAAAAATGGCTCCTTTTTCAAGAATAAAGCACCAATGCTTGAAAATACATCTTATAGCATGCTTTGGATGTGATATGAAGTGTTGTGTCAAGCCCAAAGCAAGGGTGATTGGAAAACTATAAAAGAATTTTTTTCCCATCATGTTACAAATTTTTCCACAAGCACAGGAATGCTGTGTTTATTCTGTTCAGCCGTGGATCCAAGTTGATTAGCACAGCCACATACTGGAGCCTTGCCCTTCCGTGTGCAAGAAAGGAAGAGAATTCCAAAGAAGCTCATTTTGGCAATTATGTTCAATCCTGACATGACCCACACTGTGGTCGTTAGCATCTCATTTGTCAGAAGGAGCCGCAAACATGGCCCCGTTCTACCATAAGGGTCCCAGGAGTTGCATAGCTCCCAAAGGAGTGAAAGTGAAATATATTGGTGCAATAGTCAAGGCAAGTGGTGATAATGACTTGGATTAAAGTAGTAGAAATAGATACAGACAAAACTAAATGGAAATATTTGAAGGGTATGCTTGAATAAGTCCTTTTAGACCCATAATTATTTTTAAAAAACTTACCATTTATGCTTTCTAAGAGAGTATGTGAACACAATGTGATGACATAAAGTAATAGTTTAATAAATATAAATGTGGTTTATATTTGGTACATCTAAATTTTATAGGAAATGCCCTGGAAATCATCAAGATCTTTAATTCTTCCTACTATACGCATCTCTCATAATGGCAAATATATCACAAAACAAGCAGAAGCAAAGTCAGAAGGATGCAGATATTTGTGACTGCATTGCTTTGGCATGTATTCTTTCAAATCACGTGCCACTTATTACCACAAATTGTGATATGCTTCATTGTAGGCTATACACCAACTGTGTGTTCCTTCACATTTTTTTAAAGAATTTCTGTTATTTTTAACATGATAAGGGATAAAATTAAGAAAGTATATCCCTTCCTAGAGGAAATCTTTGAAGAAAAAAATTAAGTTCCAACCTCCTATTTAGCTTTCACTAATGTCTATCTTTAATAATAATTCATTCTTTTAAAAAATATGCCCAGTAACAATATTAGGTATTATAAAATTCAGTCCATAGTGTTTGTGGAATTGTGACTAGATATGGAGTTGGCTTCAGGTACAATAATTTATATTATGAAACAAATACACACACACACACATTTTATATATATATATATATATATATATATATATATATATATATGTATCCACCTCATGTAATTCATAAATCTGTTTACAGACTAACTGGCTCTAGCATCTAGATTTCTTTTTAGTGCTGTTTAAATGTATTTTTATAAAAATGAGAGGAAAGACTTTCTAGTACTGCAGTCGGATTTCTGCACAGACTATAATAAGTGGAGAATGATGAAGCCACATTACATGGGGATACTGGAGAATTCAGGTTGACTCAGTAGAAATAACACATAATCATCTTTACCTGTGATTCCAGGACCTTGATTTTGTATTATTTGCAAATGATTAAAAATTCAATAATTAATTATGGGGATAGATATGGTCTGTGTTTTACACTAGCACATAGAAGGAGGTCAGTTTTATGTCAAGTCTTAAGTCTTGAATCTTTTTTTGGGACACAGAATTTAATTGATACTGTACGTTCTGGGCTATCCCTTGTTCCTCTGCTTCTCTCCTGGTTCATGATGTGGATATCACCCCAATAATGATTTGGTGAGTTATGAAGTTAAAGACTATGATGATATGATGAAATAGATAGAAAAAGTCTTAGGAAACACATAGTCATAGTTTTTTGATTCTCAGAAGACTCGAATTTAATTCCATGTCTGACACAAATTCTACCCAATTTAACTTTGTCTGCCTTGTCCACTGAGGGGAGAAAAAGAAAGGAAAGCTTCTACATTACTTTTCTGCTCAAAAAGCGAGATTCCACAATTAATAGTTTTATTCTCATCAACTAGTCTGCAAATATTGAGTACTTATAAGCTGAAGGTACACTGAAGGACGTTTTCATGAAGCTGGCATGAAGAGCCCCTACCCTCAAGATGCTGACTGTCCAGGAAGTTCAGAATATTTATTTCAAGTGATGAGTTTCAAAGGAAATATACATACTTGATATTTACAACCAGTGTCATAAAGTGGTATTAGGACTACCAAATATATTCAATTTTGTGACACATTTGCAGATGGTGACCTTCTGTATGATAATTGGTGCATTTCCTTGGGAATTTCTGTTCTTCTGAAGTCTGTTGCTCCACAACTTTTGGTTCTTGAGATTTATGCTCCTGCGAAGTCTGGGCCTGAGTTTCATTAGCACCTGATTTACCACAAGTGCAGATGGTTATTGGAAATAAAAAGTCAGCCATTTCCTATGATTAAATCTCTCATGGGCTGCATCTCCCTCTAAGCTATTTCCTTACTATTGCATATGATTCATTCCCACGCAGAACAGTGATTATTATATGATTGTTAAATCTAAAGTGGAAAGGAAAGTAGATTATTAGAAAAAGTCTAGTAGCTTATTAATATATATTATGTGCTACAATGAAGTGATTTTACCAAAGTATTAGCAAGATGATAGATTTATAGATGATGAGAGAAAATTACTCTATTGTGATGATTGAATGTAACAAGAAGAATTCAGAATTTTTCTTTCTTTCTTTTTTCTTTTTTCTTGCCTTGTGTTAAGGGGTTATTGCCTAAAACAATAATCTACCCAAATGCCTCCTCATCCTGGTCATTTGCCAATACTTCAGGGCAATATTATTGTGACTCTAGTAGACAAAGGAAAGGAAGTCCAGGAGGGTTAATCGCCATATCTATATTTATTGAGCTAATTAGAAAGCAAGGCTTTGTTTCCAACAGAAATAGTTCACCAGTTTTATCTGATTGGAGACTATTGACTGATTTCTTTTCATTTGTCAATTATATGGGAACAATAAAGGAGGTTGAAACACTTCATCACCCTTTCAGATTTTTGCACACTTGTTTTTTTATATTGCATTGATGAATAAAGTTGACCACATAGTAGAGTCAGCCTGCGTACAACAGAAGCTTGTTGATTTGCTTGGTTATTATGATATTTAATTGCCTATCATATTCCTTTTTGTCTATGTAAAAGTCTAATTGTTTGATTGAAAGGCAAATACAACCACAATTACCAGACCTCTTTTCTCTCTAATTCATTCCCATTATTAAATTTATTTAGGCTACTTAGTTTCAGCTTTGAGGGTTTGAATATGCAAGGAGTTTTAACAATGAAATTCAAGCCCTACTCTGCTGGTGTTTTAGGAACGCATTTTGCTGCCATTTCCTGATGCTCACGCAGCAAATGATTGCATCGAAAAGATAAAACAACACACACAAAGAAATACAGATTCCTTATAAGCACTGCTACAAACAGTATTCATCATAGGACATGTATACTATTCAGCTAAATATCAGGCCCTAGCCTACCCATAAGATCTAACAATGAGCTAACAATTTCTCTACTCTAGGATCTTTGGCCTTCTCTCAGTTGTTTTGAGTATCTGCTTTTTACCACAGGAGCCTTTGTGCTTACAGTCACCTGTGCCAGAAATGCGCTTCCCTCCCAGTAATTACTACCTTTCGTGAACTATTTTTACTTTCCTTCTTCCACTTATTATCATAGCACTTTCATAATGTTAGTGTACTTGAAGAATTACTATGTTTTCTACTACACTGTAGGATAGAGATTATAGGCAGAGTTTATAGAAGCTTTTGCTGACTTTTTTGTAGATGCTGTGCTTAGCACTGTGTAACATATAATACATGTCTGGTGTTTTTTTTTCCATTTATACATAGAACATCACATCTAAGTGGCTTAAAACAATAGGAAGTTATTATTTCTCATACTTCTGTGTATGGGCTGGGGAGCACTTTGGCTGCAGGAAGCTGGTGGATGACCTGGGGACTGGGCTCTGCCAGGATACTGGATCTTTGTTTTCATGTCATTTCCACTCTAGGGTTCTTCACAACAGGCAGGACCAGGACAATGCTCCAAGATGGGGAGAGGGACCTTTCAAGGCCCTTGAGGCCTAAACTGTGGAACTTGCACATCACTTCTGCTAGGTGCTGTTGGCCAAACCGAGTCACCAACAGTAGTCCAGATTTTTGGGAGGGGAAAACAGGATTGACCTCTGGAAGGGAGCACTGGCATAGTCCCACTGCCTAGGGCCATGCATGTAGGATTGGGAAGAACTTGTGTGCATTAAATAGTCTACCTTCGTATTTAATAATACTTTAATTAATTATGAATAAAATTCTCCTTTAATTGTAAAGACTGCTCTAGGAACTGGCTGAACTAAATGCTGTATGTTTTGTTTTAATGGTTTTGGGTTTTCTATATACACTCTGCTATAAAATGAGAGATGGAGAGAGTGATTCATTAATTCTAAGTGAAAGTGGGTGATCTCAATTTATATTTAGATAAATAATGATTCTCAGCAATATGAGAGCAGGAACATTATCTCAGTCACTGATGAATTTTCAGCAACCAGAGCTGAACTTGACACATAACAGGTGTTCAGTAAATATTTGTGAATGAATAGCAAAAAGAATAGGCATTCCTTTCTTTGGTCTTCCCTTTCATGTTCCTAAAACAGTTGCTTTTTATTTTTATCTGTCAAATGATTAAGTTCTAAATTGTTAGGGAAATAGCAGAATGGGAAATAGAGTTCCAATAGAGTTCCTGCTCACATACGTGATTCCATGAATCCATACTAATGAATTCTGACAAGATTAAATGACACAAAAACATAACATATAAG